AATGACAGCAATAATAATTCTTATCACTAAATTATTCTATTTTCTTTTCTTTGTTTTATGATACTCTTTGTTAAAAGTTTTAAATCTATTTTAAAAGTTATTAGTATGAAAGGAATATTTTCTAAAGGAAAAAAACAGTAATAAAATTGTTTATTGACAATAAAAAAATTAAAAAAAATAAAAACTAACTGAGATGAATAAGAAATAGTTTCAATGAACCAACACATTTCCAGTGATTCTGTTGTAATTACAATTTCTCTCAACCAATTAATGAATGAAGAAGAATGTGACACTTTATTAGATCAATTAAATAATGCTATTGAACTGGTTCAGTCTAAGAAAAAAGAGTTAAAAAAAGGTTTTAATGAAACAAAAAGTCAAGAAACAAAAGAACAAGAGAATATTAAAGAAGTTGTTATTGTAAGAGAATTAGAAGTTCACAAAAAAGAGTATCAATATGAAGAATTCTTACCTAAAAATGATCTTGGTCTTTTTAAAAAATATCAATCAACACTATTTGTATGGACTAAAACAACAAAATTTTCTGTTTTGTTTGATACAAACAAAGTTGGATGGAATAGATCATTATTCAATTCGTGCATACTCAATAAACCAAATCTTCTATTCCTTTGTTTTTCAAAACCGATGATTGTTGGACTATGGTCTTCAACAGAAATAAAAACTTTTAATTCTTATTCATCTGACCCTTCTTTCTTTTTAATGAAAATCACTGAAGATGAAATTCAACACTGGTATAGATCAAAACAATCAACTTGTCCAGAAGATGCAATTTTGGTTTATTCAAAACATTCAACCCGATGGTTTGGCTGTTATGACTGTTGGATTCAAGCAACCCCAAATGGTACAAGTACTATCTACCCAGAGATACTCTCAGACTTCTCTGGAATAAGTTTTCCAAAACAATCAAGTTTCATCTCATCTTTCAACGTCGAGAGAATAGTAATTTTGAAATGTATTTAGACTTTATTCTTTGTCTCTTATTTCTTTGTATATAAAAATGCAATTGAATACAAAAAAAGAATACACATTAATTATATATCTTACACCAAAGGTAGTAACGTTAATTCATATATTATCAATTCTATTAATGTATAGTTAATGTTACTACTAAAAAGCTTTAATAAAAAGAAAATGAATATTTGTTATTTACTTATTGATGGTAGCTTTTGTATGTCATAACATTAAATGATAGAATATTAAGAAGAAAGTATAGTTATTTCTTAAATTTTTAAAGTTATTTTCATTAAAGTGTAATATAAGACTATGTCTTATCTTTAAACC